CACAGTTGAGTGGTTTGGAAAAGGGGGCATGCGCTGGAGTGGGGTTCTTCCCCGTTTCTATGGAGAGCTGGCCAAACAGACTCCCCCTGACATTTTGGTCGTCCACGCTGGTGGCAACGATCTGGGCCTGACTCCCCCCAGTAAACTTGCATCTCAGATGCAAAGAGAATTGATGCAGCTTCACAAAGAGTTTCCTTCAATGACAATTTTACTTTCCTGCATCAATGAGCGGCAAATGTGGAGATATGGGCTTCCACAAAAGATCAACAATGACAGGAAGATGGTCAACTCACTGATGAGAAAGGCTGTTGGCTGCTTTGGAGGTGAACTTATTGAACATCTGCTCCTGAGGTTCTTCAATAGGAAAATATTCCTGCCAGATGGAGTGCACTTCATTGTTGAAGGAAACCGCATCTTTCTGACCAGCATCCATGGAGCCTTGAACAAGATCCTTCAGGCATCTTGTCCAAAAGGGCCACACAGCAAAATGTGCACTTTTATGCTGTGAGAAGCACAGTCGATTACACTTGACTCCAGCATCACCTTGGAAGAGATGGTGGCAGCAGCTGAATGAACCTTTCCTCTGGAGTTGATTATGTGCAAATCTGGACTGAAACCTGGGATTCTCTGAAGAACCTTGCCAGGTGGGAAAGTTTTGCGTTTCGTATGCTTATTAGATTTTCTTGGCATGAGAGGCCTCCCATCAGGGGAATGTATCCTACCCCTGTAAAGTATTATCGCTGATGTAGGGATACGTTTAGCAGTTTCATACATAGATGGGATTGTTGTCAGACCTCTGTTGCGCGATAGCTGCGATACCGACCGGGAGTGTGTTTTGGGGTTCTTGGGAGGGAGCAAGCCTGACAGAGAGACAACTCAGATGACTAAATAAGCTCTGAGACACTCACTTTGAGTGTTTTTGCCTTATTTTCCATGATAACAATGACAGGAGTGATGACTATGAAAACTATCCACTCACCCCAACCAGTCGAGGCAGAAGTCCACCCACCTTGAGTTGGGGGTCTGTCGGAGGTTTCTTCTTACATAATGAACAAACATACAGGGAGTTTTTCCTCTCCACTGTCGCCAAGTGCTTGCTCAAAGGGGATTTGTTGGAGTTTTCTCTATACTGATAAGATTTAGACCTTAACTGTGTAGTGTTGTGATATGACGCTATACAGATTAATTGAATTGTACGGTCAAGTGTACAGGTTGACACCATGTAGAATTATTTCTCCAGCCACAGCTGTTTCCTGTGCAGAGGCATAGAAATGTAAACTACTGTCAAAGAAGCATCGGGTATTTCTTAAGCGCACTTTGTGACGCTGAGGTCAGTGTTTCAGATTCTGGAGTCAAAAGTTGTTGTTTCAGGGTTCTTCTCTTCAGCACCAAGTACAGCGCACGTTGTTTCACTTTATAAGCTCGTGTCTTTTTCCGATAAGTGACCAAAGTCCTATCAAATATCCAGCAGGTTAATTTTCCTTTTATAAGAACAAACATAACATTCAATATACTGTGTGACTCAAGCTGCACTAACTTAAATGTAACATCTTCTGGTTAAGTTGTAGCAGTAATGCATTAAGCTGGGTTTACTGCAATAAACATCTAAAAGTTTAGGCATGTAACATTGACCTGTATACAAAGTCCTTGTCAATGCACCTTGGGTGCCATCTGTCAGATGCTATTTTGGGGAATTTTCTAATATAACATGGGCAGCTGGACAAAGCAGAGGTTTGGCTATGTGAGATTAGAAAAAAAGCTTGTGTGCACACTAGATACTGGACTGAAATGTGGTGCCTATTCTGTGCAATTAAAGTTGCACACCTGGCGCATTTATCAAGGTCCTTGGTGCTAGAGGCTCAGAAAAGCTTTTTTTGTATAGTATATATTCTACATATACATACAAATACATGTGCATCCCAGCCAGAATATAAATTCACTTTGCTATAACAGATTACGGTATGTGATTTATGTCATAGTAGTCACAAATAAAGGAGCTTCACTGATATATGTATTGTGAATTTAACTATGATATCTGAGTTTTGAAGAAACTACCAGCCAGAAAAAGTATAGACACAACTGATAGTAAAGCAATACAGAGTTAAATGTTTAAAAAAAAAGATGCCACTTTCAATAGTCGTTAAAAAAAGGTAACAGCTGATGAATTAGCGACTTGTAAACTTGCGTAATGAACCACAAACTGGAAAGCAATGTGTTTGTTTGTCAAACCTTTGCTGTTACATGCAGAAATATGTCTCACTGACTCATTAATGCTAGTGTGACTTTTTTTTTCAGTGAGTACATACTGTATCTATCAACTAGTTGCTTCAGCTCTACAGTTAATTACTAGCAGAGCTCCACCCAGCTTCCACCTAATCAGGTTGCATTTCATCTTGTGAACAACAGAGTGTTAACATATGTTTTTATGAAGCTCAAAATGTTTCATTTTTTTGGTGAAATTGTCATAAATCAATCAATTCAATGATATGTTTCTTACTGAGGTCATAGTTAAAGGTGATGTACTGGACTAGGTTACATTCAGAGGTGCATACCAACAAACAGATTCATCACCTTTATGTGAAGTTATTCCATAAAATGAAGGAACTGTGGTGATTTACAAATAGCCCCCACTTTTGCTTCGAGGAGCTTTTCTGAATTTTTTTTTCTATGGCAGTGAGGCGGCACTCTCTCTAGAATTTATCACTTCATTCAAAAGTCATTCATTCTATCACAATACTAAGGGCATTTTCTGATTCCTCACAATTTTCACTACGTACCAAAAAACAGACGGAAGAAATCAGGATAATAAAGAACTGGATAACAATAGTGTGGATGCTGAGTCGGCATCCACACAATAATTTAACAGATTCATCACTGAACACAATCAACAGAGTGTGGAAAAAGACCTTAGAGCCTCTCACATGCAACATCTTCTAATATATCTTCTGTTTCCTTTGTGTAATAAACATGAACTGTGTTCTCCTTTTATCGGCATTGCAATGTAGCTCTCTTCCTTCCTGTGCTTGCTTTAAGATTTCATCACTAAGACTGCAGAGAAGCTCCCTTCATGCCTTTATCAGGCTTAATGTGCGTCTTTGTGTATGCAAATATATTATTTGTGATAACACAACTCAATAATCAAATCCAGCAGCTTATTAAAATACCCACGATCAAATTTCAGTAATTTCCCTGTAGACCACTACAGTGCTTCCATAAAGGTCTTCATAGAACAAAGCACTTGATCAGAAACCTTAGGCCTTAGCTTGCTTGATTATTAATGACTAACATAGAGGAGGTCATTAGATTGAGCAGGTGAGGTCTTTATACAGATTTTATTGAACCATAAATCAGACATTTAATGTCTGATGAGAAACAGTATTATTTCAGATTAATGATTTGCAGAGAGTAAAAATTCCAATCCTAATGCAGGCCCTGTTAAGTAGAGCACTAAGATGATAGTCTCTGTTCAGCAATCTAATAGTTGCAATCTGCACAGACCGAAAATAATGAGGAAGTGCTAATCAGGGTCTAGAGTGTGTTCAAACCACAGGTTCTGTGTGTGTATTGTGCATGTGTGTCTGTGAGAATGAGAGACCATGCCACGACAGACAGTAGGTTGATGTCCCAGACAGGATGCAGGCCACGATTTCATTAGATGGAGAGAAAAACAAGTACCGTGTCTGCATGGAGAGGTAATCAGACAGATCACTGTGCAGCAGATCACAGTTCCTCTATGCACTGGGGGAACGTTTTAATCTCTTGACATGCATTTCATTGTTGTTTTAGTCACTCTCTGTGCAGGATGTACCTCAGTATTTGCAGACATATTTGACCCAGTACTTGTGTGCATACCTGGCCACTCTTCCTCTCAGGTCTCCTACGTTAGCCATGTTTTTCTGGTCTAGCTGTTGAACAGCTAGTGTGGTTTCAGAGGCAACAGAGTCTCGCTGAGCAATTTGTTTCTCCAGTGCCTGTTCAAAATGTGAAACAAAATACAGATGAGCAAATATATAAGGTATAGATGATAATTCACAATGGCATGTTAATACCATTTCTATTTCCAGATTTAATGCAGTCAAAATACCCAATGTAGGTAAACAGCTCTAAGTCTCTTGCTGATAAAAAATAACGTCAAATTGCCAGAAATTTTATCACCATGTCTGCATGCTTGGTGGGTCTTATAGGGCAGGCCATTCACATGTGTGCAACAGCCTAATATCAAAGATATGACCCTCTGGCTTATCATGACAGCAGACACTGGCTGTGTGATGTCACTTTTGTTTGACTCCATTTGGATTTATTCTCTCTACAACTGATCTTATTACTACTTTAATGTGCAGAATTAAGTAGCTTTTATGCATTAGCATAATATTTAAGATAATGACAGCCTCTAACCATGTTCATGGACCATTTAGTATGCACTAATTAGGTTGTGTATTTCATGTTATGCTCTATTTCTATAATGTGGTGTAACTTGATGTTCTCAGTCAAACGCAGAGACTCCAAATACTCATTTGTCACAAACCATATTTTCATACACTTTCTAGGCTGCTGTTTTTCAGACATTATTGTGTTACATGGTGGTATTTATTTAACAACACACTGAATACACCATTAGTTTTTTTGTTTAGGCAGACAAAATGACCATGAGCTGATGAAGAGTCACACAGGCTTTGCTCATGCAACTCACCATTCTACCAGGTGTAATCAAATCAGCTGTGAATTTGTAGGTGTGAGTGTGTGTGCTGCACATCAGAAGAGACAAGAAGAAGGGAGCAGACAAAATGACATGCAGGAAAAGAGGAATACATGTAAAGACAAAAGATAAATCAACAAATCATGTTCAACAGATTCACCATACAACAATATGTAAGGTCACAGTTTGTTAAATGAGTGTCCTTGTTCACTAACCTCCACCATTTACTCACTTATTTACCTGTATGTCCAAGCTAAGCTGCTTGACGATGCGGGTGATGGTCAGTATGTGATTCTCCAGCAGCTTGCAAGAAAGTGCCTGCACCTGGGCAGAGCCCTGGGTGGACTGCAGGCCTGCTGCCACCTCTTCTTTGATCCTGAAAGCCTGCTCCAGCAACACTGCCAGTGTCCTCTCCTGACTGCTCATACGACCCTCCAAGACATCGGGCCTTATCCAGGAAGTAAACAAACAGACAAACAAACAGTGGTTTAAGAGACTCTTTATTATTGACTTTGTACAGTAAATTGGTTGTGTTGGAAATTGTGCAAAGTCAAGTTAACATTCACCAAAACGACCAGCACACAAAAAAATTTAATTATAGTATAATACAATGAAGCATCCATCCACCTAGAAGAATAATGAAGATGGAATGGGATGATGCACATTGGTTTTCATACCCTCAGGTCATCCTCAAACCAGATACAAGCTGTGTCACCCTGCCTAATGCTACTGTGCAATAAGGATGAATTTGATCAGTGTGATTGATTTGTAGCTGTGTTAGAAAGGTCGCTGGTGGTTCCCAACCTTATTTATATCCCATCAGAACAGGAAAGTAGAACTTATCTACCTCTTGGACACAAATTGATTTTTGAAATTGAATAAACGACCAACAGGAACTAAGGTAGGTGAAAAATATAATGTATAATATATATTGTAATAGTTTGATGGTTAGAATAATTAAAAATATATAATATAGTAACTAAGTAAGATATCTTACCTGCTGTGATTGTAATAGGGCTCTAACTTTGACCCATGTGACATTCTTCTTTTCTAAAAGGAAAAAGTACATATGAGATACTGGTGATGCTTAACAGTATTATTATTACTCTGATGTGTTTTAATTGCAACCTGTATACCTGTTAACTGAATTATAATTTGTAGTTGATAAAATCCTAGGAATAAAGATTTACAGACCTCTCCAAATGTAAATAAACATGTAATGTAACATGATTTCATTAATTACCAACAATATATTCTTTTCAGTATACTCACAGGTCTGTGCTTTTCTTCAGTCGCTTCTCTTAATGTGTTTGTGTTTTCAGGTCACTTGGTAACTGAGGTCTCCTTGAATGGGGGTGTGCCTGCCTGCTAGAAACTTCACCATGGCAATGCTTGAATGCTGTATTGTATATAGTAAGTAGGGAAGCATCTTAACTTACAAACTATCAAGGCAGAATATCTGCTGACCTGTGAGTGTGAACATTAGTTCTGCTTAGAGAAATGTAATTAACAAGCCAATATAACAGCAATTTGTAAAGCAATAAACCTCAAAATACATTTGGACACACTAAATCACTCTGTAGTTGCCTTTCTTGTTTGTCAAATTGAAGAGTCTAGCTGCCTTCAGTTTTTCTGGGAATACTCCTTGACCCGAATGGATGACCGTTTTCAGATACACAAAGCAAAGGGGGGAAAAGTCACTTTTATTCTTCACTTCAAGCGAGTTAAATAATGTTGATGTTAAAGAGTTAGCAGCTGACTGTGACTAATTACTGTGCAGATTACAAAGGGACACTACAGGTATGTGTTTAAAATTCTGAGTGAGTTTTGTGGAAATAGTTTTTTTTAAATCTTCATTCACACCAATAAGAGGGAAAAGTATTTGCCCATGAATGTGCTTCTTCCTGCTGTATGACGATGATAGAAAGTATACTGTTACATGATATTAGGATTTCCGAATATTAGACTCATTGGAAACATTTCAATGTAAAAACTTTTTTATGATTTTTCACAAACTATTCTAGCTGTTTGAGTAAAGCACTAAAGCTTCCATGTAACTGCTCCTTGGCCAGTGTTAGGGAGCTGTGCTGGGCAGGTCTCATGTGGCTGAAGCAGATTATAAAACAGAGTATGTGAGTATTTGAACAGGCCACACAAAATCAGGGAATATTGGCCAAATCATTAAAGGCAGCATGGTATCTCCTCCTTTTGCTGTTTCACTGCCACAATATAATATGAAAATATATAGATCTTGTGGCACTGCACCTATCAATTGAACATTCAGCTTTGTCTGGACTGAATGAATTACAAAGTCAATGATTCAGCCCTCATAAGGAAAAAAGCCTTATGTTTAATTTAACCAGTACCTAAACTACATTACCATACAGTGCGAGTCAATGCCACTGAATTACTAAATAACACATTTCTTAGTGTCTGTTTGCAGGTGTGTGTGCATGCACAGCCACACACACTGCAGATTAATCTCTTATCAGCAGGACCAGAATCATTAAGAGGGAAGGCCTGCTCAATGCAGACTCATCAGTTATCCTTGCTTGCCCAGTACAAAAGGTGATGGCAGCTGAGAACTAACGTTTGGCTCACATGTTTACTACTTCATCTATTCAGCTCAAGGCAGTTCACTGTGTAGCTGGCAGTGCCCTCCTGGTTGCAATTAATGTTTTACTTTGTAAGATAGATGAGATATTAAAAACATCAAGCAATGTGTTCTCAAGCAAAAACAAAACCTGTTATTGCTCATCCAATGTTTCATAAAGAGATGATGCCCTTGATATCCATCTGTTCCCTTAGTACTGTATGTGTATCCAAAATTTTAGGGTACATAAGCTTTAGGAAACTCTCTTCTATAGAAATCACTGTTGCTATAAATCACTACAGACAAGGGCTGATTATTGATTTCACATTAGTGGGGGTCACCACTCTTGCAAATAATGCCAAGGTCATGTTAGGTACCGTTCGCACCAGTCAGTAAGCGATCAAGAAAAAGGCGGACCCAGGTAGCCAACTTCGGTACAAGCAGTGATTTATTATATACAGTGATGAAGGGAATAACAATACACAGAGGGAAATAGTGCGTAGTCCTGTCGACGAGTGGTAGCCGGGTGTTTGACCAACTGCAGGAGGCGAGGAGATGGAGAGCTGGGCCGAGCTGGGCTGGGTCACTCCTGGGCTGGTTGGTGGTGATGGTGGCTACTGATGGTGGCTACTGAAGGTGGCGACAGAGAGATGATGGCAATAGTGGAACAGATGGGCGACTGAGCATTGACCTGCCTGGGAGGAGAGAGTGGAGTCACGGTCTGGAGGAACAGTCTAACGGGGAAACACAAAAACAGTAGCTGGCTAGGGGATAAATACATACAAAAACAATGACAACGTATGGAGTAAGGTTGGCCTAGAGACTAGAACGAACTGGCAAGTGACTGAGGAGTGAAACCGGGTAATATAGTGAGTAACCTAATCAAGTGCAGCTGGTGATAAGGGAGTGAGGAACAGGTGAACGTGATAAGAGTAATGGGGCAAGAGACAGTAGGAAAGGTGAGGGAGGCCAGAGCGGCCCAGCAAACCTGACAGGTCATATCATGGAGTCTGAATAAATGTCCATGCAAACTGCATGTAAGGCTCATGATAACATACATGATTTAAGAGTTGAATAGGCTTTAAACTGGGAATACTGAAGTGCCGTACTGTGGAGCGCCACCGGGGGGGGGCATCAGTAAAATGGGCAGGCCGTTAAGAGGCAGAACTGCAGAATAAATCCAGCAGCCGAGTGATGCACAAGGCAAACTCATCTCTGTCTCTTGTAATCCTTCAGGGCACGCCCGTGTCTGGGAGGGGTAACATGCACACAAGGCCTCATTTCCTCTGTGTAGTAAGATGAAGTTCAATCACTTACATCATCTCTTTGTAATAACTTATTGAAATAAAATTTCAGCATCTGCAGAGAAAAGGTCATGTTGTGATCTGCTTGTGTGTGCACATGCTACAGAGTTAGATGGAGACAGGTATTGACTTGTGTAATTACTGTGTCTGCGTTTTTGTTTATGTGAATGTGTTAACCAGGAGAATGGAACAGCCACGACTGAAACAATGGCCATAGGGAACGAAGCAAT